TACTTAAAAGCTTTAGAATTTAGTAAATACAAATGTTGTCATTTATGTGGTAAAAACGACTGTCATTTAAAGGTGCGGTACACCAAAAAATTTATATACTTAATTGTATTGACAAATGTGATTCATTCATTGATCCTGAGATTGATCCTGAGACACAATACAAATAATATGGAATAAAGCCAGCATTAGCATTGCTGCTAGTGAAACAATGGAAGTGGTAGGGCCTATGGCAGAATGCTTCAAAAAACATGCCCAAGTCCTCAATCACTTCAAACCAAATGTTATAGGAACCCAAATACCATTAACAAATTACACATATAGAATATTGGAGGATATTCTAGGAATTTTTATATAACATTTCCTGTAGAATAACTATTTTTCAGAGAATGCATACCAATACAGCACTATGTGTACATTTAGAGGGTAGCTGGTTTCTGTATTACAGTTTTACCAAGTATTTATACCACTGACATACTTTTATGCACTATTTTGACTGCCACTAAGCTTATATGTCAGGTAATTTTATTTTTTTACACAGTCATACCTAGTTATAACCAGTAATAACCATAAGCGAGTACATAAGGTGCTTCATCTCTGCAGGTGATCTGTCTATCTGGTCAAAATCACGGATAAAGGTCCCCCTCGACCCTCCTAATATTATGTCTCCAGAGAAACCTGGATTCAAATAAATACTTTTTTAGATTTGCCCTAGAATAACTACTTTTTCTGAGAATAGACACCAATACAGCTCTCTATGTAGATTCGGAGTGTATCTGAGTTCTGCATTGCAGGTCTATCAAGTATTTATTCCAGTGGCAGACTTTGTATAGCATTGGCAGATTTGTGTATGCACAAAAATAAGGTAATTTTGGTTTTGTACACAGTCAAACGATAACTCACATAGAAAAGTACAATCTAAGCCGAGTACATGGGGTGCTATATTTTGGCAAATTATCTGTGTATCTGGTCAAAATCTCTGATACAGGTCCCTTCCACCCTCTGGTGGTATGGATAACTTGTAATTATATCTCCAGAGAAACCTAGATTAAAATAAAAGTCCTATTTATCAAATGATATACTATAATAGGTGGAATTACTATAGGCGGAATTAGGTGTTTTTGGTTGGGGTCAAAATGACCCCTAAGGACTTGAATTTCTAAAGTCAAAATTGAAACAAAAACACTAAACCAGGATTTACTGTATATTTGTTAAGAGCAAGTTGATTGATAAAGTCATGAAACATTTAAAGAATTGAATAAACCACATTTGGGCTATGATCAAAAGCATGCCTCTGGGGTCAAAATGACCCCAGTCGGTAGTATGAGGGTTAAGAAACTTTATGTTGGTGTTTCCTTTATTTTGGCAGTTACCTGTAGTTTTGCCTGTGAATCCAGGAATAGACTGTTTTCCCAAAAAATATCTTGCAGTTCTCTAAATATTATTTAGAATTACAATGAATTTAAATGTAAACAGCATGAGCCTAATGTTTCACACCATTGTTTTCTCTGGAATTTAGATTGGAATATAACTAAAACAAACTAAAATAATTTTTGAAATAGGGGGAAGCGGAGCCCATTCTAACATGATTCCATCTTTCAGTTTCATCCTGATAGTTCCCAGCACCCATACACAAACGAGAGATAATAGAGTCTTCTTCGACTATGTAAAGTTGAAACGACAATATCAGTCAATGAAAAAAGAGCACAAAGTAAATAGGCCTTACCAAAATGTTTGATCAACTATTTGAAAATGAGGTTGCACTTTACATGAACTGTCCTGAAATCTTTGTATTTTCCTGGTAGGGCAATTCCACGCTAATGTAATTGCGCTTAGACTCACTTTTCTCTTAAAATGTATGGAAAACAAAAACCATTGATTTTAAAGTTTAACAAACCATACAACTCTATGCACAAGGACTACTTTTAACATTTAACACTGAACATTTTACAAAAACACATTTACTGGAAGAACTGTGCAGATGCAATGTTTGGTAAAAGAATGTCGGTAAATCTCCCTCAGTGTTTTATGTATCCACGTTTTTCAAAAAATCTGTTAAATATTGGCTCCGAATGTCTGCAGAAAGAATGGGGTGTCAGCTGTCACATGACACATTGACTATTTTGGTTATTGAACTACAGTAAGTGAAGTGGATTTACACCCCATAACGGAATTGCGGTAACAGAATTTCATCATGGGTCCCTGATCTGTAAAACACAGAAATGCATCATTATGGATATGAATGTCATTCTCTTCATGGGGATGTATCCTGAATAAGTACACAAAGGTACTCTACCGGTCAAAAGTTTTAGAACACCTACTCATTCAAGGGTTTTTCTTTTATTTTTACTGTTTTCTACATTGCAGAATGATAGTGAAGACATCAAAACTATTAAATAACACATATGGAATCATGTAGTAACCAAATAAGTGTTAAACAAATCAAATTGAGATTCTTCAAATAGCCACCCTTTGCCTTGATGACAGCTTTGCACACTTGGCATTCTCTCAACCAGATTCACCTGGAATGCTTTTCCAACAGTCTTGAAGGAGTTCCCACATATGCTGAGCACTTGTTGGCTGCTTTTCCTTCACGCTGCGGTCCGACTCATCCCAAACCATCACAATTTGGTTGAGGTCGGGGGATTGTGGAGGCCAGTTCATCTGATGCAGCACTCCATCACTCTCCTTCTTTGTCAAATAGCCCTTAGACAGCCTGGAGGTGTGTTGGGTCATTGTCCTGTTGAAAAACAAATGATAGTCCCACTAAGCCCAAACCAGATGGGATGGTGTATCGCTGCAGAATGCTGTGGTAGCCATGCTGGTGAAGTGTAAATCACAGACAGTGGCACCAGCAAAGCACCCCCACACCATAACACCTCCTCCTCCATGGTTTACGGTGGGAAATACACTTGCAGAGATAATCCGTTCACCCACACCGCATGTCACAAAGACACGGCGGTTGGAACCAAAAATATCAAATTTGGACTCATCAGACCAAAGGACAAATTTCCACCGGTCTAATGTCCATTGCTTGTGTTTCTTGGGCCAACCAAGTCTCTTCTTATTATTGGTGTCCGTTTAGTAGTGGTTTCTTTGCAGCAATTCGACCATGAAGGTATGATTCACACAGTCTCCTCTGAACAGTTGATGTTGAGATGTGTCTGTTACTTGAACTCTGTGAAGCATTTATTTGGGCTACAATTTCTGAGGCTGGTAACTCTAATGAACTCATCCTCTGCAGCAGAGGTAACTCTGGGTCTTCCATTCCTGTGGCAGTCCTCATGAGAGCCAGTTTCATCATAGCGCTTGATGGTTTTTGCGACTGCACTTGAAGAAACTTTCAAAGTTCCTGAAATGTTCCGTATTGACTGTCCTTCATGTCTTAAAGTAATGATGGACTGTCGTTTATCTTTGCTTATTTGAGCTGTTCTTGCTATAATATGGACTTGGTCTTTTACCAGATAGGGCTATCTTCTATATACCCCCCTACCTTGTCACAACACAACTGATTGGCTCAAACGCATTAAGAAGGAAATACATTGTTATTTCATAGTTTTGATGTCTTCACTATTATTCTACAATGTAGAAAATAGTAAAAATAAAGAAAAACCCTTGAATGAGTAGGTGATCTAAAACTTTTTACCGGTAGTGTATAAATATGCAATATCCTCCTTTGCATATTTGGGTATTATTCTACATACTGGCTATTATTTTAATGAGCTCTGCCTCCAAACAAGACCAAATTAGGTTGGTCCGGACTGGACCAATCTGAACCAATCATAGACGTCTATGTTTCCCAAGTTTGGACATCAAAGTACAGCACAATAGAGCTCAGTAGAGTACAGTACAGCACAGCACAGAACAGTAGAGTACAGTACAGTAAAGTAGAGTACAGTACAATACAGTACATTATAGTGTACTCAACTCTAGTGTGCTATACTGTGTACTGTACTGATCTGTGCTCTACTGTACTGTTCTGTGCTGTGCTGTGCTGTCCAAACTTGTGAATCCAACTGTGGTTTGTAACTACTATGATTTCCCATTGTAGCCAATTTAATTGCAGAAATTCCGTTACTGATTTTTCTGAAATTCCTTTACCGATTTGGTAACGGAATTTCGAGTTTTAATCACTGAATAATTCATAAACAAAATTGCTCAGTAAAACACCTTAACTAATTGATACGCTCCCTCAACTTGAGACATCTGTGGCATTGTGTTGTGTGACAAAACTGCAAATTTTAGAGTGGCCTTTTATTGTCCCCAGCACAAAGTGCACCTGTGTAATGATCATGCTGTTTAATCAGCTTCTTGATATGCTGTACTTGCCAGGTGGATGGATTATCTTTGCAAAGGAGAAATGCTCACTAACAGGGATGTAAACTAATTTGTGCACAAAATCTGAGCAAAATACGTTTTTTGTGTGTATGGAACATTTTCTGGGATCTTTTATTTCAGCTCATGAAACATGGGACTAACACTTTACATGTTGCGTAACATTTGCTATTAGTATATGTGTTGATATTAGTTGGCAGGGTTCTTTATTTCAATATTATTGTGTTTTTATGTATTTCTAATACCTTTTAAGACTTTTTCTGGTAGATGTTTTCTGAAACCCCTTTTCCATCTGTTTGACAAGAAATCAAAGTCTTTGCTTACACATAATCTTTAGGATGGAAAATATGCCTTAATGTCAAAAAAATCTAGACTCTTAGCTTTCATTTGACACCCAATTTGACATGCTCCTATGAACTTCACATGTTGGTGCTCATGGATCCTTTTACATGGAAATGACCGGTAGTTACATAGGTAGGTTAGTACACTTTATTAGTACTTACAACTATTATACCTTTTTGTGTTTTTTGTTGTTGCACATTTTATTTTCTATATAAACAGTTTCTAAATTGTAGCTAATTTTGTGAATTCAGGTGTTGTCAGACAAGGAATATTATTTCAGTTTTATCTTCTTCAACATTTTCACTATCCCTTTGTCTCTGTTTTAGAGCTTATGTCCTCTGTGATGCCTCAGCAGCAACAGAGGGAGGAAGGGGAGGAGGAAGATGAAGAGCAAGGGGAGAAGTTTGAGTTTGACGACAGTGCTGATGAAGAGAAAGAGCCAGCGGATACTAAAGACCCTATCTCAGACTCTGTAAAAGCCAGTCAAAAATCAAACCAGTCATTTAAGGAGGCTACAAACCAACCACAGGACAACACACTAACACCCCCTGGACACTCACAACAGCACCTCAATGCAATGCCCCGTGCTGGTCAGGAGGACAACCCCTCCCAGGGACAATACTCCACAGCCTCTCCAGGTAAAGTGTTCTTTCTATTACAGCACATTGTGAGTGACTCTTCTCCACTGGTCTCATAAGGTGCTGTCAGTTCATAAAGTGATTTCTTAATAGCTTCAGACAGACAGGCATAAAGAGAGCCAGGTTAAACCTTGTTCTAATTGGATAAAGAGCAGTGAAACTCTTGTTATTAGTATAATATTGACTACCTGACTCAGTCATGCTGCCAAAAAAGCTCTGTTAATTACACTCCCAGCTAAAGAGGAAGATTTTAATCTATGGGAACTTCTGTCGGACAAAATGAAGCGACTAGTGCTTAATTAAAAGGCTTCTTACAAAGCCTACGTGTAGTACTGTAATCCGCTAAGTGGGTTGTGGAGCATTCCTCCGCCGCGCTGGGGAATTATGGGGTTGATGATGCTGTACAGTGAAAGCCTGTTACATAACCAGTGGCTGGTGAAGGAGACGTCATCAGGCAGGGACTCAGCCCTGCAGGCAAATGAGAGGGTTTACATTGTCTCTGTATAAATTAGATAATAGTTTTAATAGGGATATCTTTCATAAAAGCTGATATTCACACAGTGCCTATATACAGCTAATATTAAGATTCCGATGGGCTGTTCACATTTTACATTTTGATAAAGTTTTGCTCATATTGAAACCTACTGAGATGAATTCTAAACGTTTTAACTGTCCTTACCATATGGTACACGTTGCACAAGTTACAGTAAAAGTAACATGACATTAGCATTTTTTAAACATTTTTTTTCTTGGCTCTAATGTCTCCCCACAGATGTTCCAGTTAGCGACCCACCCAGGCGGTAAGAGACGCTCTGCTTTTTATATGCTATCACAGTATGTGGGAATCGGTATTACATCCTTACAGCCCGTGTGGTTTGGTCTCGTAAGAGGAAACATCTGTATTCATTAGGTTATCAATATATTTGCATAACACAAAATCAGATACAACTCTATATGTCATAGAGAAAGTGTGTGTCAAAGTTAAAATGTAGGACTGATATGTTTGGAAAAGGAAGTCAAAGGAGGCGGCCCATCTGTGACTGAGGTTATGTGGGAAAAAAACTCTAACATACTGAATCAGTAGCCTAAACAGGTAGTCTGTAGTCTGCAGGTTATAGCAGTTTGCAGTATAAAAGTTCTATATGAGTTAGGGGGTTCACTAGAATGTACACTAGAAACATGTTATCAACCAGTGTACTGTATCACCCTCTTCATTTGTGATCTCCTACCTTGGTGGTGCCCACTGGTCCTGGTTAGGTCCCAGCATGATGATGTACTGGGAAACCTGTGCTGATCGGAGAGCCAGGGCCGGCCATTCATGTGGGCTTTCATGAGATAAAAAAGAGGGGTGTCTGAGTGACTGTGATAAAGTCTGTCTGTGTCTGTGTGTTTGAATAGGGTTGGATTGTGAGAGAAGGAACTGTAAGGTCTCTGCAATTTCTGCTGAGTACACCGTTCCACTGTGGGTCAATATTCTCCCTTTCCTAGTGGAGATATCAATAGCTTTTTCCGCCATCAAGGTGTGAGGTGTGTGTCAGAGCATTTGCACTGTGTGTCTGTTTCAGCTAAGATTAAGATATATTTGCATCACAAATAATACTTTATAATAGAAACATTGTTGCAGAACATGCATAAAATGTCTACAGGTCTACTTAGCCAAAAATCCAGGAAAGCAGTGGTATTTGGCAGATACCTTTCATTAAGTGAGACCCTTAAGATGAAAAGTCCTAGACAAAGGTCACCATGACAACTTGACACCTGACATTTATATGGCTCTCTTATGTTCAGTTGAGCTGTAACCTTAAAGGGGAACACATTTAACACTCCACCTAAGCAACCCCACTTTACAACACTCCTTTTTCTTCATCTGCGTTCCACCCTTCCTCTCCTGAGTGGTAGATCTGCAAGCTGGGTTTGTAAGCTGTTAAAGTAAACAATGTCACAGTAGACACATACTGTATGCAGACCTGTGTACAATGCTTTATGACTGACCGGGTGCACACTGCAGACGCAAGATGCAGTTGCAATAGTAGGTGGTGTGTTGTTAGGTTAGACTCATCAGCATGGTCACCACTGTTCCCCAGAGAGACAGTTGGAAAGCCATGTAAACAACGCTCTCTGGGCTGACAGTGCTGTAGCTGGAGGGAGTTGAAACAGATCTTAGACAGTAAAGGCCTTGCATTCAGGCTGCTCAGTGCTCACACTGTGCTTTGCCTCAGGCTATTCTATTTGCATTTAAAAAACGTTCCCTGCTCCTCTGTTCTCTCCTACAGGCATTTGACTCACAGGGACTTATATAGACAAGTGAAGGGTATAGGCCTACAAAGATGAACCATAAAATATATACTCCTCCAACATTGAAATAATGTTATTGTTCTCACAAAATGTCTTGTTAAATCCCCCTGTGAAACCACAGTTATGGGAAATGCATGTTTTCTGTTCTTTATTAATCTTACAGAACAGAAATGGTTTATTCTGCTTCATGTTGAGGCTTTGTTGTGTTATTAATATGTCTGATCATTGTTTTCTAAGAAATCATTTTAGAAAGCTCTTAGTTGTAGAAAACCGCTTGAGTAGACATTACTCTTTAAAACTGCTATTATTAGCTGTAATATGATGAGTTGTCATCACAAGCCCTGTGTGCTGCTTTCTGACTGATTCTGTCTGGTGTCTTTGCGGAGCCAATGAAGGTGAAGATTTGCAACTTTTATTTGTGGACATTACAACGGAGTGGATTTCAAGTTTGAACATTACTCAAACAAGCATTAGCTAACGCCTTTATTGCTGTCTTGCCAATTGGTCAGCAGGCTGCTCGCAAGCTATTTGGCTGCTAAATATTTCCTACACAACTTATCTGCGTGGTTATGTAAGGACTGCGGTGTGTCAGGCATGTCTGGAGCAGGGGAGAGTTACACTATCTCGCTGACTGATTGATTTACTGGTTGTTGGCATAGCCGAGATGGATGGTGGTAGGGATGTATTTAATGAGATAGGTCTGGGATGGAGGAGAAACCAATCTGTATAATGTGGGACTGCTGTAAATCTGACTGGTGGCTCGAAAACATAAGCAAGTGGTAGCTCTTTACAGAATACCGACAAGATCAGTATTATTAGGAGTTGTCTCAAAGGCAATAGTACATGCTAGTCATTATTATGGTCAGGCTTTAGATATGGCTGGCGATCAAGGGCTATAGTTTAGGGGGAACATTCATAGCTCACAGTTAATATAACAAGCTGGAGGTAAGGTCACATTATCATATTCATGGTCTCACATGAGTTACTTTTTTTTTGTTGACATTTTAGTGATTCAGCAGACGCTCTTATCCAGAGCGACTTACAGTTAGTGAGTGCATACATTTTCATACTGAGTTCACCTGGATCAGAGGACTCTCCACCCCTCACAACAGCAGTTAGCAGAATCATCACACCACAGTGAATAGGACTGACCAACCTAGCAGAACTGAGCTGCACTAGGAACATATGGGCTGTGCCAGGTTTAATGGGAGTGTTAGCGTGCTGGGATGGCAGTGCTTCAGACCTTTTGCCCCTGGCTACTCCACCTCTCCTCTTCTCCTCCTCCACACTGCACTTACTTTGTAATGAGCCACACAGCACCCAGCCTAGAGTGGTCATAACTGCTCTCACTACTCTGTCTGGTATGTTCCAGGGTCTCTAGCCCCGTCGAGCTGGTTGAGCCCAATGCCGCAGCACCCTCCTTGGGAGAGCAGGCCCAGGGAGGTTCTGGTCCTGGAGAGGCGTTACCTGTGAAGAAGCAGACTGACTCGGAGGACCATAGTGTGGAGACGGCCAAGGAGAGCTCCAGCCTGAGGGAACACTCTGAAGGTACACAACAGCATAGTGCAGAGATACATGAAACATGATATAGACAGACATGAGCAAGCTTACATCAATTACAGTATAGCCTTCATAACTTTCACCACAAGGCTTGTTGTCGGTAGCATTGCATATTTGTTGACATTGTTTTACAGTAATAATATAAAAACTGTATTGGCCTGTAATCTTCTGTAACCTTCATGGAGGGCAACAGCTAATACATACTCTCTCCCTCCCATGATTTGATTTACACCTTGACATGAATTAAATTAATTCAGGATGAGGATCAATAGTGGACTATTAGTCTATTTCCACCAAGGGAAATTGCTCTTGGATTTTGACTCAGTCAGCAATGCTGACATTAGGCTTTTTGAAGGAGGTCCACTCAAAGACTGTTTGGAGCCTGACTAATCCACACCTTGCTCCATTATTTCACCTTTCTCATTAGTTCTCTTTCACATATGTCCTTTACTGTTTTTGTCAATATTGTTGAGGTTTATAATGATCATTTTGGTGTTAAATTTTTGTCTTCATGCATTGATAGTATGTCAAAATTGTATTCTACAAAGTGTACCTCAGTTTTCTGATTAGTTAGGGTGTTCTTATTGTGACATAATTGGTACCATGGGTGGTTGTGTTTTCAATGTCTTAAGTACTGGCACTATTGTGGGATTAATTAGCTATTTCCTGTTTATAGCCAACAACCAATAGCACTATACCTCTCTGTTCAAGCTTGTGAACTTTCCTGTAGCTGATACAAATATAGTCAACAAATGGGCTTTGATGACACTCTGTGACATTTTAGTCATACTTCTAACAGTATTGCTTTGCTGTGTTGCTATCACTACTGGATTACTACAGTATAGGAGCTTTGTAACTGATTCAAAGAGTCTGGTAACTGTAATCTGTAATTGCGTTTAATACCAGCATTAGATTTGCTTCAGGTCCTAACTTTAAGACCCGCCTGAGTCTTGGGTCCTAATCCCAACACTACCCTAATTCTAGGATTTTACAAATGTGACTTTGAACACATTCATCATAGACAAACTGAAGAAAGCAACGCTATACTGTGCTAAAAAGTTATTCAGCAAACCAAGATGAAAAATGCCTGAGTTGTGTTGCCTTCTGGGATTGTTGGGGGAACTTGAAGAAACACACCCAGACTGTTTGAAATAATGAGCACTGTTCCCAGAGTCAGTTACTTTCCAGATCTACAGATAGTCAGGCTGATGGCCAAGATAAAGTTATTCCGTTTTCATTCTGTACACATTCTTCACAGAGAGTGTTGCTCAGTTAGTCACTAATGTAGTAGAAGAACACTGTGTCTCTCTCTTGGATTGTGTCCCAGGTTATTTAGAACCTTAAAGCAGCGTCGGCTAATACATGTCAGAATCTACATCTCTCATCAGATTAATTGAATCCAGTGATTATTTGGGGTTTATAAAGAACCGTTCCAGACAAATCACAATTTAAAAGCGAATCAATAAATCCCATAAACTAAATTAGGCTGAAACACTCTCAAAGCAGTTAATGACAAATCCTGCGGACCGTGGAGATAGATGGGGTCGATACATTACAAACAAGGTGGATATCGTCATGCTGACACAATTCCACAGCACAACCCCACACTCTTAAAACCTTAAAGAGTTCTTCGGCTGTCCCCATAGGAGAACCCTTTTGAAGAACCCGTTTTTAGTTGCAGGTAGAACCCTATTGGGTTCCATGTAGAATCCATTCTACAGATGGTTCTACATGGAACCCAAAAGGGTTCTACCTTGAACCAAATAGGGTTCTCCTATGGGGACATTTTTTCTAATAGTGCACACCTAGCACACATAACAGCAACACACAAGGCCTATCTCCCTTCTAAGTCCCTGCTAATAAAATCATAGGTATTTGATGTTTGAAATAAATCAGAACTGATCAAATACGATTGCATAAATGTACATTTACAGAATATACAGTCTGTCACAGAAATGATGGTATAAGCAAATGCATGTATGGGGGCAAAATGCAGTGTGCAAGAAAGACTCTTGAAGTTTGGATGCTTTGCCAGATTACCGGTGCGAGGCCCTCCTCTTGGCTCTATGGTTTGGGGTTGTGACTGTGAGTGGTCTTTACTGTCTTCCCCAGAAGGTGTGGCTGATGCTGAGGCTGATGCAGAGCCCCTGACAGGGATCCTAAGGGTGATCTATGATGACGTGCCCTGTGAGGGACCACTCTCTCCTGACGAAGGTGAGTTCATGTGCAAAGGCCGGGTCTGGGGCCACTGACTTCTTTTATTGAATGTCTCCCTTGTCTGATACTGCACCATCAGATCAATGGACATCAGGCTTGGGTTAAAATGTCATTTGGTTCCTTTTAAAAAACTTTACTTGTGCTTGATGAAGCTTGAGGGTCTGCTGTCTAACAATGCACATCAGTATTTATGCTGTGTTGATGTCAGCACATCTCTCTCTGTGTGTGTGTGTGTGTGTGTGTGTGTGTGTCAGGGGACATGATCTATGAGGATGTGCACAGAGAAGAAGTGCCACAGGGTGCAGGCAACGATTGGAGCTCCGGTGAGTTTGAGAGTTACGAAGAGCAGTCGGACACCGAGAGCAAACTACCAACCCGCAGCAAGGTAGGAGAGATGATATTCGATTTGTATACCTACAGTATGCCTGTCTGTTTGTCTGTCTGTCTGTTTGTTTTTGTGTTTTTGTGTTCAATGCATAAGACATGACTCAAAGATAATATTTCACGTAATGCTACTGCTCCTCCACTGCATGCTTTTTTATTCATGTGAGAAACTGGTGGGGAAAATACAAAGAACATGGAAAATGTATCAACCCTGTCTGGGTGGGTTGTATCTCACTTTGTGGACTGAGAATAAACAAGCTCACTTGTCACTTGAAAGGCACCAATGCCATGACACTATCTAGGTGCTGTATGTTATAACGTTTAAATATACAATCTATGGTTATAACCATACAGTAGGTGCCTGTAGCCTCTCTCTCTTCCACATGGGGGCAGTATTTACTCATTGACGTTGCGCTTTATTCTATTTGGTCAGACTTGGTCCAGTCTCATCCCTGTTGCATGTATATCTGTAGAGTACGCTATAGGGAAGCTTTGCCAAAACATATTTGACTGAGCTAGTGCTATTGGTACATAGATGTAGAAAATATGCCCTTAAATATTTTCTCATATTTTTTGTATTCTAGACGCTGATACCACTTAATTTAATAATATTCTAATATTGTATGAAATGTTATCCTCTCAGAACAGAGGGGAGCGATGACCTGCTTGTTATGAACAATTGCTTGTTATGTTTGGGCAGTAACGATGGAGGCATTACTGTAATAAATATCACAGCAGGAGTGTGCCTCACACCTCCCCTCCTGCACAACCCTCCCTTCATCAAGATCAGTGCTATTAGTCTCGGCTGACATTACCCTATGACCAGTGCAGTACTCTACATTTCCGCTCTCCATACATGTGATTTAATGCTGTTGTTGCCTTGCTTGTTTTGACTTGATAATTTCCCCTCCATTTTCCGCTGTCTAATCTTCCCTTCTTCATCCCTATACCCTGCTGTGTGGTTAAATGCGACCTGCCCTGACATGCCCCACACCCCACTGCCTTGACACCTGTGGCGTTCCCCATACTGTAGCAGTACTCTCCTGACATACATCGACTGAGGGACCGTTGTGCCAGGACCAAACGTGAAATAGTCATGAGGCTGGGTGGCAAAAACAACTATGACACCAAGGTATATCACTGGCAGTAAGAGAACACAGCATGACACCAAGGTATATCACTGGCAGTAGGAGAACACAACATGACACCAAGGTATATCACTGGCAGTAAGAGAACACAGCATGACACCAAGGTATATCACTGGCAGTAGGAGAACACAACATGACACCAAGGTATATCACTGGCAGTAAGAGATCACAACATGACACCAAGGTATATCACTGGCAGTAAGAGTACACAACATGACACCAAGGTATATCACTGGCAGTAAGAGAACACAACATGACACCAAGGTATATCACTGGCAGTAAGAGAACACATGACACCAAGGTATATCACTGGCAGTAAGAGAACACATGACACAAAGGTATCTCAGCCTAGACCTCAAAACTACAGCACCCAGGAGGCTTTGCAAGGATTAAAATGACCAAAACCAAAATATGTATTCTGTAGTATGATGTGCATTTTAACTGATTTAGATATTTATATGATTAACTTTCTTTACCATCCCCCCCTTGTGCTTCTGTGAGATCCTCCAGACTGTTGCTCTCATGAGAGATGTGTCTCTCTCCTTCTAGTTTAGTATCAGTTATGGGGACACATGAATAAGTAAAACACATTTGCATCAATAAACACGTTGCCAGTTGCTCCCAGTTGATAACCTAGTTTTTATCATTTAAAAATAGTGGCATCATTTAAAAATACTATCACCATGTGTGTATTCTGGGTCCGTGAGCTTAACCTGACTCTGCAGGGCTTCATTGATGCTCAGAGTGGGGTTTGTGGTTAGCAGAATGTAGCCACACCGAGCATAACTCCACTACCTCCCCACAACTACAGCCCAGTCTGCTACCATAATCTCACTATGATCTCCTCATAGACTTCCTGATTAGAGACTAGACCAACTGAGAAGCGCAGATGTCGGGATTCATGGCTTGATGCACCTAGTGCCCCATCTCTCTCTCTCTCTCTCTCTCTCTCTCCTTGTGGATTACTGTGCAGTGTTTCCTGGCTCCACTCTCCTTCTCCTCGTGGACTAACTCTTCTGGCCTTTTGAACCAGGTTCATCAGCTAATGAAGGCCGCCAGGAGTGGGACCAAGGATGGACTGGACAAGACCAAAATAGCCTTTATGCGGAAAGTCTCCTTCCTGCACAAGAAGGACCACTCAGGTAATCTGAGAAAAGGTTATTCAAACTGACTGTTTGCCAAATGACTGTGTCAGATAAAAGTTTCCCTCTTATAGCAAAATGTGTGAATTTGTAGTGAATTGAGAGTTTCTGTGGAAGATAGGAGTTCACATACATTTCAGTCGCCTCTTTTGAATTAAGCTGCGGATGAAAACTTGTGTGATGCTAGCTGGGCCAAAAGTAATGTTAAGGCAGATAGGGGAGAAAGCTTCCCATTGCATTTCCAATCCCAGCTTTAAAATAGAAAAGACTCCTGGAAAAATTATCTAAATGATGTAAGTTGTTTCAAACGAAACAGCCGGGATAAGTCGAGCTGGCTCGCTCCCATTAAAGACAGATGTTGTGGCCAACTGAAGGTTTTGATGTGTAGGAGAGCAGTGTAGGAAGCCTCGTTGCACAATGGAACCAGATTACCATCCATTAATGGAGTGTTGAGCAGCTCCAGAAACCACAGAAAACGGAGCCACGACTCAAACAAATCTTCAAACAAACAGGCTAGTGGTTCTATTTTTAGCTGTTGATCAGGGGGAATCTATGCAGCATTTTATATTTCTGAAACTGAGACACTGTTATCGTTCCAAAATCATTCATTGGAATAGTGCTGGCTGGCGAAAAGCTGTTTTAGTATCTATGTCTGTATGGTTGCAGGGAATTTGTTGAGTGCCTTTTGAACACCTTCGTACTCACGCTGAGAAGTGTGAGTGTTTGAATGCGTTTTTGAAAACGTACTGTCTGTTCGCCTCTTTACTTCTACTGAGATACAGTATTGTTTAAAATGTATTTTTCCCTCCTGAATTTTTCTTGCAGAGTGCTAATCTCTTCATATTTTAGAGGTAATACATTTGGAGTGTGGCTCCAGTTGAGATATGAAAGCTTTAAATGTGCCTGTATGTGCCCCTGTGCAGAGGATGTGGAGGATGATGCAGGGTACCTGGATGTGGCTGTGTCAGATGTGAAACATCCTCCTGCACAGCTGAGCCCTATGCCTGAGGGACTGAGCAGCCAGCAGGTGTGTATGTGTGTATAACAGATGTTTGTTTGTCTCTGTGTGTGTGTGTGTCTGTCAGAGTATTCTGTGAATCTCTAGGGTCATGTTATATGCATGCAATGATGCAAACATTATTTTTCTATTGCCAACACTGACTCTGTAGTGCGATTGGGAGGAATATGTCTGCTACAGTTAAGTACAGTGCTACTCATTTCAAGGGAAACCTCAAGGTAAATCCGGGCCTCATGCAAACAAGGCTACTCCACCCAAACTCTCTTACCCCATTACAATCACACACACACACACAGGCATAGTACTATCAAACAACCTGTCACACACAATTGAGGCTGTACGGCATACAATTAACTCCCATCATGCCCTTTTCTGTGTGTGACCTTTGACCTCTGACCTGTATGTTTCCCGATTGGCTTCTTCTGTCCTCAGGTGGTCAGACGCCACATCCTGGGCTCCATCATTCAGAGTGAGCGCAGTTATCTTGAGTCCCTCAGGAGAATCCTTGAGGTGAGTCCTTTTCTCCCTGCCCCACCCCACCCCACCCCACCACAACCCTCCACTCCACCCTACCCTTACTCTGACAGATGTAATCCGTTAATATTTTCAGCATTTAGAAATGAGGCTGAAAAGGAAACTGGAGATATTTATCAAATTACCAGGCTTGCTACGCATAAATAATCATGATGGAACAGATTAATTTTACATCTGTGGTGCCCCACTGATGCTAATAGAGAGATTCTCTCTCTGTTAGGTTTTCACAGAATCACAGCATGGGTTTCACTCTTTTCTCTGTTGTATCTCTTTTTCTGTGGTGGAGAGAGAATAATTCGTTATCTCTCCTATTAGATGACGAGTGACACACCTGCTGAAATGGGATCAGGCATGATCAATGAGAGGGTTGTTCTGCAAAATGTTTTCTGTCAAGATATGATGTACTACCTTTGTTGTGGCATGAGATGATTGTGTTTGATAATTTGGGATGTTTAGCCTTTTTTTGTGATTTTGCGTACCATTCAAGTCCAAACTCACATAAAAAAAGAATAAAAAAAGCCATGAGCACAAATATTAGACATTTAAGAACTGCGACTTCAGTCCTGTAATATCAGAAATTGCCTGTGTTATGCCCCATATCCATATTCCACCTGTCGATAATTCATTTGCTGTGGAGGATTTATGGTTGGGCAGGGGAGGCTTGTAAAAGCAGCACTAGTCTATCATCTATTGTTGTTTCCAAGCATTGACTTTCATTGCTGATTTTCTGCTGACTGCATCTGACAGTTTCTGATTGTACAGGCTACATTAGCCATACTTAAATGACTCTCACCTTAAAATACACTGCAGTCACATGTTTTACACAGTTGACTAGTTTTTATACTGTTCAGCATCTTGACTAATTGCAATTGCTTATAAGATTGTTACTAACTGACGATTCCATCAATGTGCCTTTCAGTAAGGGTCCAAGGCACGCGTGATGCTGCTGTTGTATCTGTTGAGAGATGTTGCTATTGATGTGTTGCTTTTTATGATCAGGGCCTACCTGTGTGTTTTATATTGTTCTCTACCGTAAAGCACACCTAATCCAAGTTAACCTGTGTATACTATTTCCCCAGGAGTACCAGAGGCCCTTGCTGGAGGCAGACCCACGCATCCTGAGCCCACGGAAGATCCGGCCTGTATTTTACCGTCTACGGGAGATCACTCAGTGTCACTCCATGTTCCAGATTGCACTGGCGTCACGTGTGGCTGAGTGGGACAGCAGTGAGAAGATTGGGGACCTATTTGTAGCCTCGGTTAGTGTGTGTGTGTGTGTGTGTGTGTGTGTGTGTGTGTGAGAAAGAGAGAAAGGTGTCCGTTTTCCCATAGGGCATTAGAAGACAATTTCCACAGACACAGTTATGATGAGCAGCACTTAAAATTGAGCAAACAAGACTAACTTCAAACATGGAGACAATTACAGCTAAGATGAATATCTCTTCTGCAGCAAATACAATCAGAATATGTGTGCTTATAGCATTGGCATAGGACTATTGGACTAATGTATGAGTGTGCTGCTGTGACCCTCTGCAATGTGCTCATCCAGAAGGCTTGCTCATTATTTACCTATCAAAGACACCATTTTGATCCCCTGCCCTCCTTCTGACCTTGTTTATTGTGATGTTCCATTGATATCCTGACACCAGCCAAATGGGCCTGTTTTGAGAGGTAGGAGAGAGGACTCAACACTCCTCATTAATTTCTCTTTTTCATCTGACAGTGTATTTGTCACCCAGCTGTTAATGTTTTATGCTATTAGTAGGTCTCATACTATCTGTGTGTTGTTTGTGGCTGGCTTGCAGAGAAGATGAAAGAGAGGGTTCATTTCTATGTGAGACTGGCTAATTTCCTAGCTACCGCTCCTCCATCTACTGCTGCCGTTAGCAGCCTGCTTTGTGTTTAATCAAACGAGAGCGAATGACTGTGTGCCGTCGCAGCAGGATTGTGGATTGTGAAGGGTGTTTGTTGGTTTCCTGGATGGTAAACAGATCAGGGTCTGAAATATCACACTTAAATGGCCATTGTCTACCCTTTTCTACCCTTCCATCCATGAATAGGATTGTTAGATGAGCTGTGGAGCTATTGACTTTCTAGGAACTTCATGTTGTCAGATGCTTTTACAAATAAATAACCAAGCATGACTAGTTCCTGAATGAATTTGTTCCATGAAAAACCCAACAGATTCCTGATGTGAAATCCAAGGGTTGTTTCTCTTGCATTTCCCATAACCCCACCTTTCTGTGTTTCTACAGTTTTCCAAGTCGATGGTGCTAGATGTTTACAGCGACTATGTCAATAACTTCACCAATGCCATGGCCCTTATTAAAAAGGCATGCATGTCCAAACCAGCTTTCCTGGAATTCTTAAAGGTGAGTTACAAAGTAGACCTGTCCATGTTTTTTTCTTCACCAATAAACTCTGTTGTTCTTTCAATACACTCTAACCCACGGTCACTTTCGACCTTCATGTACTATTTCATTTGGCCCTCTAAATATACTATATTCTACTGGTGTCTTGATACTTGGTTAACCCATCAGAGTCTAAGCCCTGTCTAAGCCGGGAATTTTATGAACAATTTTTTGGGCCTTACTGCTATTAGCCCATACAAACGCATTGAATAACAGATTCACTACATGGAACAACAGATAGTCCCAAAAACATATCAAAAGGAAGTTTGTTCTGAAGTGTCTCTCCTATATCTGATTATCTATGCATAGTCACTTTACTCCTACCAACATGTACAAATTACCTTGACTAACCTGTACCCCCGCACATTGACTCGGTACTGGTCCCCCCTGTATATAGCCTCGTTATTGTTATTTTATTGTGTTACTTTTTATTTTTTTTACTTTAGTTTATTTAGTAAATATTTTCTTAACTCTTTCTTGAACTGCATTGTTGGTTAAGGGCTTGTAAGTAAGCATTTCACAGTAAGTTCTACACCTGTTGTGTTCGGCGCATTTGACAAATAACATTTGATTTGATATAAGAAAGATCAGGACACATTATTTTACTTGTTTTTACATGTATTTAACTCCATATTTTTGGCATTAAACAGTCTCCATATATACTTCCATTCATTTTTTCAACTGGTACCAGGGGACCTTCAGACAAGTCTTGTGAGGCCTGTGGGCGTCCTAGAGCATGTATATGTTAATTAGAGTCTCACCTTTGCACAGAGAGGTCATATTAGTGTGTAGCCCAAACGGTTCGAATGCTACAGACAGAAGTTGGCAGATCGGCTGTACCGACTTCAGACCAGTCTACTGACACTTGTGGAGGTCGTAGTGCAAAACGGAGAACACCATCGTGTTCGTGAGAGTCTTTCCATAGATTGATTTTTTGGGGGATGTTTTTATTATGCTAATTACATTTATGCGGGGGCGCGGACATCAACCTTAGGGGGTTAAAAGTGTAGTTGCTTTATTCAAATATTTCAAGTTGGCCTGGTTGGGTTTACTTGTTGCGATACACTGCACTAATCACCAATAATTTATATATTGCACCAATTAGCAAATCTCACATACTGTAGAGCAGTGGTTCCCAAACTGTGGGGTGTCAGGGGGGGGCGCGTATATTTAAGGAACTCAATCCAGCTTCAATTTACTCTTGAAAGTCGTAATAGTAGAATGCGCAAGGTGCAATTTTGAAATGTTGTAGTAATGTTAGAATCACTCAAATTTCACATTAATACACATTAGACATGGCAAAATGTATAGAATTGCAAGAACATTCGCTTTAAAACTGCAAAAACATTTCTGCACCCCATGACAAAATGTGTAGAATTGCAGGAAATAAGCTTTACACCTGCAACATTTTCTCTCCACCAACATGAGGGGTTTGAACAGTTTGTTTCATGAACATTGCTTGTGCCCATAGAAATAGGCATGGCATATGAACACCTCCACTTCCCAATTCTCTAATGACCAGCACAGCAACCAGAGTCTGTTTTTCCACACCTTACTGACCTAAACCCACTCCTACTCCCACACTCATGCACTCTCCATATCTTGTCCTCTGAATAAGAGGTGTCTAGAGGGGTCTTTCTTTCTGTGTATTTGCTTATCTCCTGACTGTACTATGCTATGCTGTTTATCTAAAACTTCTTATCCTGTGTTGTGTAGAAGAAGCAGGCGTCCAGTGTTGACCGGATCACCTTGTACGGCCTCATGGTGAAGCCCATCCAGCGCTTTCCCCAGTTCATCCTTTTACTGCAGGTATACACTACCAGTCAAAGGTTTGGACACACCTACTCATTCAAGGGTTTTTCTTTTAATAATAATAATAATGATAATATGCCATTTAGCAGACGCTTTTATCCAAAGCGACCTACAGTCATGCGTGCATACATGTTTTTTTTTTTTGTGTATGGGTGGTCCCGGGGATCGAACCCACTACCTTGGCGTTACAAGCGCCGTGCTCTACCGCTCTACATTGTAGAATAACAGTGAAGATATCAAAACTATGAAATAACACATATGGAATCATGTAGTAACCAAAACAGTGCTCAACAAATCTAAATATATTTTATATTTTATATTCTTCAAAGTATCCACCATTTGCCTTGATGACAGCTTTGCACACTCTTGGCATTCTCTCAACTAGCTTCACCTAGAATGCTTTTCCAACAGTCTTGAAGGAGTTCCCACATATGCTGAGCACTTGTTGGCTGCTTTTCCTTCACTATGCGGTCCAACACATCCCAAACCATCTCAATTGGGTTGAGGTTGGGTGACTGTGGAGGCTTGGTCATCTGATGCAGCACTCAATCAAATCAAATCAAATCAAATTTTATTGGCCACATGCGCCGAATACAACAGGTGCAGACATTACAGTGAAATGCTTACTTACAGCCCTTAACCAACAGTGCATTTATTTTTTATAAAAAAGTAAAATAAAACAACAACAAAAAAGTGTTGAGAAAAAAAGAGCAGAAGTAAAATAAAATTACTGTAGGAAGGCTATATATACAGGGGGGTACCGGTGCAGAGTCAATGTGCGGGGGCACTGGCTAGTTGAGGTAGTTGAAGTAATATGTACACAGTACTCAATCACTCTCCTTCTTCATCAAATAGCCCTTACACAGCCTGGAGGTGTGTTTTGGGTCATTGTCCTGTTGAAAAACAAATGATAGTCCCACTAAGCGCAAACCAGATGGGATGGTGTATCGCTGCAGAATGCTGTGGTAGCCATGCTGGTTAAGTGTGCCTTGAATTCTAAATAAATCACAGACAGTGTCACCAGCAAAGCACCCCCACACCATCACACCTCCTCCTCCATGCTTCACATTGGGAACCACACATGCAGAGATCATCCATTCACCTACTCTGCGTCTCACAAAGACACGGCGGTTGGACCCAAAAATATCAAATTTGGACTCATCAGACCAAAGGACAAATTTTCACCGGTCTAATGTCCATTGCTCGTGTTTCTTGGCCCAAGCAAGTCTCTTCTTATTATTGGTGTCCTTTAGTAGTGGTTTCTTTGCAGCAATTCGACCATGAAGGCCAGATTCACGCAGTCTCCTCTGAACAGTTGATGTTGAGATGTGTCTGTTACTTGAACTATGTGAAGCATTTATTTGGGCTGCAATTTCTGAGGCTGGTAACTCTAATGAACTTATCCTCTGCAGCAGAGGTAACTCTGGGTCTTCCATTCATGAGAGCCAGTTTCATCATAGTGCTTGATGGGTTTTGCGACTGCACTTGAAGAAACTTTCAAAGTTCCTGAAATGTTCCGTATTGACTGACCTTCATGTCTTAAAGTAATGATGGACTGTCGTTTATCTTTGCTTATTTGAGCTGTTCTTGCTATAATATGGACTTGGTCTTTTACCAAACAGGGCTATCTTCTGTATACCACCCCTACCTTGTCACAACACAACTGATTGGCTCAAACTCATTAAGAAGGAAATAAATTCCACAAATTAACTTTTAAGAAGGCACACCTGTTAATTGAAATGCATTCCAGGTGACTACCTCATGAAGCTGGTTGAAAGAATGCCAAGACTGTGCGAAGCTGTCGTCAAGGCAAAGGGTGGCTACTGTGAAGAATCTCAAATATAAAATATATTTTGATTGGTTTAACACTTTTTTGGTTACTACATGATTCCATATGTGTTATTTCATAGTTTTGATGTCTTCACTATTATTCTACAATGTAGAAAATAGTCAAAATAAAGAAAAACCCTTGAATGAGTAGGTGTGTCCAAACTTTTGACTGGTAGTGTCTGCCTTTACCAGCACCTTCACTGCTAACATTGATATGATAATGTCATATGAGAAAACCTAACAGATAAACAATCTGAGATTAACACCACACAATGTTTTATGGATTTAATCAACAGATTAACACGTGCCATGATACATTGAGCCGTTGAAAACTACTAAATTCATGAGATACAGTATAACACCAGGAATAGCTCTACCTAGCTAATCTAACCATATTAGCTTTTCTTCTTTGTCTTCCTTTACTCTTCCTGTCTCAACATTGTGTGTGAAAAGATTTTGATTTGAACTTGAATACTGGAACTGCAGTACCTCATTCTATCCATTAGAAGGGGTTGATTATCCATGACTTCAAAAGATAAGTTATGAATGTGAATGAGGCGATTCCCTCTTGCCTCAAACTCAGCACCCTGGAGAGGGAGTGTCTGTGTTAAATCATATATTACACAGGGAACTAAACTCAAAGCACTGAAACTCTTTTGGGACACACACAGAATACAAGGCCGTATTTCTGCAGGTCCACAAGCACACACATTTGCAGGTAAGCCAGACACAAAGATCTGGGATGAAACTCAATAAATACTTGGATTGTTTATAGACATATGAAAATGAAAACAATGTGCTTTACATGGCTCTGGGCCTTAAACACAGAAACCAATGCACACACACACTTACACACAAACCAACACCTCCTTCACTTTATTTAGTGTTTGTTTCTCTCCTCTCTGTTTCTCTGTCAGGACATGCTGAAGAACACCCCTAAGGGTCACGTAGACTGCCTGCCTCTGCAGCTGGCTCTGACTGAACTGGAGATGCTGGCCGAGAAGCTGAACGAACAGAAGCGTGTGGCCGACCAAATAGCTGAGACTCAGCAGCTAGCCCGCAGTGTCAGCGACCGCTCGCTCAGCAAGGTGACTAAACCACTGCAATACACATGTACGCACGCACATGCACGCACACGCACCCCCCGACACAAGCACATACGCACAAGCACACACCGACACACACAAACCGACACACAGACACAGACACACACACGCACACAGAGTAATCAACCTGTTTACTGTGTGGCTCAACCCCAGATCCCTTCCTCTACCTCCACTGTGTTATCGCATGAGCCAAACACCTATGCATTAGCATATATAGCCATCACTTACATCAAACACCTATTCATTAGCATATATATAGCCATCACTTACATTACCTTCCCAAACATTAGTCTAGGAAAGCATTTTTATTTAGAAAAATCATTGCCCAGAAATGATGGCCATTATGGCCCGTGAACAGTGTCTAAACACCACGGCAGGGACGTTTCTTCTCCATTACCACACTGGAATTACAGTCCAGATGCTGCAAATCTGAACAAATGCATTTTTGAATAAGAGGAATTAAGGGGTAAATGAGACATTTAATTGGAAGCTATCTCTCCCCGTTGCTCCTTGTCTCCTTCTCCCTATCATTTCCCCCCTCCTTTCCTTCTGCTATTATTTTCTTCCCTCTCCCTCTCTTTCTCTTGCTCACTTTCTCCCTCTTCCTCTCTCTCTTTGTCCCCACCGGGAGCCCATCATCTCCCTCTCTCCCTCTCCCTCCCTCTGTGCCTCCCTCTCTCTTTCTTTCTATTGGTCCATGGTGGTGAATTTCCCAGAGCCCTGAGATGAGCTGATTCGGCCAATCTCGTCTGCTCCACACAGAATTCCATTTACTGCGGTGAGACTGCAGAATTTCAATAGGAAGCAGCTCTCTTCCATTATCCCATAACCGTCCAATGAAATATTAATTATTTGTCACTAAGTATCTAAGTCAGTGGAATAGGGGAGATAACACTGTGAGTGGGAAGAGGCTGAGGTCTCCGTTTCACTCTATCTCTCAGACACACACTCACACAAAACAGTCACACATGCAGACACACTGTTGACACTTTGGACTTTTCTGAGGGGCCTTCCATGACTTACGTCTCTCTGCCTCTGGAGGGTGCTGTAGTTCTGTGATCATAGAAGACAGGCTACTGTTTGACTAATGACTCATTTCCCAAGCCATCTGAATAAAAGCCAAGCACAACTACTTATTCCCCACAGATATAACAATCCATTTTGTGAGATGTGATGGGATGTAGAGCACTGAGCATTGTAAAATGGACAAAACACAGATTCATTATTCATAGAAATTGTGTTTCTATCGAACAAACATCAACATCAAAGTGGGACACAATATCTGAGCTGCATATTTGTATTTACCGTCAGTTCGGTCTTTGGTTTTTACTGTTGTTGTAATGACAATTTTTTTTCAGAAGATTGTTTTAGAATACATCAAACTGACTGTATTGATTCAGCTGGACATAAAACATGACTGGACCAAGTAATGCAAATACTTTCTATTAGATTACCCTTTGCCAAATGTACCTTAGGAAAAGGATGTCTTGTGTGTTCTCACATACTGCAGTATACAGAGACATTTCTGTGGATATTTCCGTGTGTCTGTGTATGCAGTGGCGATTTTAGCATGTAAATCTTGGTAGGGCAAAAAAATTAATATGTTTTTAGATGCATGCCAGCAAAGCCACTACACAACACAACACTAAACAATACATTAATTGCCCTATAACGGTGACAAACGGTGCCCACAAACTGTTAGGGCCTACATAAAGCTGTCCCAACAGCAGAGTTCCAACAAGCAGTCCCAACACCTTACCACTGCTACAGTTGGCTATCAGCAAATCGGGGCGGCAGGTAGCTTAGTGGTTAAGAGCGTTGTGCCAGTTACCGAAAGGTCGCTGGTTCTAATCCCCGAGCCGACTAGGTGAAAAATCTGTCGATGTGCCCTTGAGCAAGGCACTTAACCCTAATTGCTCATGTAAGTCGCTCTGGATAAGAGCGTCTGCTAAATGACAAAAAAAATAATAATAATCCTTGTCTGGCAGTGAAACTGTTAATTCAGTCTCATTTACTGCCTTTTTAAAAAACAGCTGATATGGCTGACTTGCTTAAACAAATGTGGTTTCTACTGACAATTGAGATGTACAAACTATGGCATAAGGTTTGACGAGCGGATAAGAGGCAATCCGTAATTTCGATTAAGACATTAATGAGCGAGCTTGGACGGACGTAGTCAACATAATTATTTGTTCAGCACTTCTGAAATGTACAGCGACAGAATTCAGATCATGGGCCGTTCTTACAGTATTCTCCCTGTACACCAAGTCAGAACCGTAGGATAAAGAAAGGGGGCATATAAGCAGACAATGAAAGCTCTTACAATATTTGATGATTACGTTTCTCTAAAACAGGCTATAGGCTACATGTGCACCACCAAGTCAGAACAGTAGGCAAAATTATGAGGCGAAAAGGGACCAAATTATTAGGCTGAGGCACATGGGCTACTAACAACTTACTACACAACATACACTTAGTATTACTTTCTTAGCTACAGTATACAGTACATATCTCCCTGGCATATTACATCATTTATACAGCAGCATACAATACATTTTTGGACTCACCTTGTTGTGCTGTGCTCACTTGAACAGGAAGGTGGCGCAGCGGTCCTTCGTGGGCAAATTTTGTCATCAAACTTAGTCATCAAAGTCTGGCATTCTCTGGATTTATGGTGCTTTCAAGACAACTGGGAACTCTGGAAAAAAACAAGATGATGACGTCAGTGATCTTCAGGTCGGAGCTCTAGAAAGAGGCCCAAGTTCCCGACTTGCAATTTCGAGTTGGGTGACCGTTCAAAACTTACTTTCCCAGTCGGAGCTCGTTTTTTTCAGTTCCCAGTTGTCTTGAACTCACTGAAGTCAGATTTACGAGTTTCCAGTTGTTTTGAGTCATGCTGAAGAAGTCATGCTGGATTGACAGCATGGCCATTGTTGAATGTTTATCCTTTTAAGCTTGGAAAAGAGACCCTTAAACCCAGACTTGGGACCACACACCCACTCCACTGAATAGCAGGCTAGTGATTGCTTTGCAATGCTTGCAGTTAGCCACTGATTCCTTCCAAACCACTCATTGTTGAATTTGCGATTTCCAACTTGACTTGACGTCATTTTATCTGTGGCCAATGACCTTGAGCCTTCTTGGATAGGCACTTCTAATGTAACTCTATGGCAGCACCCAAGGGACTTGAATTTTCGAGCTCTACCCTTAGATTTTGCATTGATGTATTGTCCCCATGAGTGACAGAACACTGAGCCAATCATGGCGCAACATTACCAACCCCTACGCTCCATATTATCCGCTGGCTTGCCCCACCACCACAGAAAGCACTGAGCTAGGCTGAAATACCTGCATTTTAGCTGCCTTACTCAAGAAAGAAAAAAAGAGACCATGTTTGTATGCGGCTTTATTAACTCAATGTTATATATATATTTTTTTTACATTGTTTGCAAACTGATATGTTACACGTATTAATGCCAAAATAACATTCAAAACAGGCACAAAAAAACAGGTGGGGCTCCAAACAGGCTCTGCCCCACCTGCCCTGAATGACGGGTCGCCACTGTGTGTATGTCTTAGCATGTGAATGTGTTCTGTGTGCCCTGACTGCACAAACCTCCCTTGATCTGACACTGATCCTCAATGAGACACTCACTTAACCAGTATTTAGCCTGCCTGCTGTGCTCCTTAGCAATTGAACTGAAACCCTGGAGAATTTGCCCTTTGTGATGTGCCTTTTGAGACAGTGTCCTGATTGCTCTGCCCCTTTAGCAACTGAACTCAGACCAGGGGTCGCTGGTGCTTTGTGAGACGCTGATTGAGACGGTGTATGGGGAGCGAGGCCAGGTCCTGAAGTCTAAGGAGCGCAAAGTCTTCCTCTTCAACGATATCCTCATCTGTGCCAACATCAACGTCAAGTAAGTGGTGTCTCTGTAGAGTAGAGTGAGTTCTGCTAAACAGCTCTACAGTCTGAATACACAAACACCTTCCCAGCTCCACAGCAGCAGCACCACAAGGCTCAGCCTACAAGGCTTTGCAAGGATATATTTTGGCAAACTGCATAGCAAAGAGTAATAGCTAATAGGCGTTCTCTAGCACTATCTGGAGTAACAGGAGCTTTATCAGCTTTTAACAAACTGTAGGCAGCTTAACTACAGCAACAGGAGTCCTAGATCACTGACATAAAAGATTTATTGGTCCCTCTACAATTTATCCTCTATGACAGCACCATTGTTCACATGGTCTCAGAGCTAAAGGTAAACAGCAAAGATTTTCCTCCATTTGCAAAGCTCCTGTTTGAGACGTTCATACCTCTAAGCTCTCTTGTTCAGCCTTCAAAGTAGTTATCAGCCCATGTTTCGTTCAACTTGATTCCCCTGAAGTTGACTTTGCCTGCCCTCTAGAATCTTGACAAAGTGATCACAACGTTGATTGAATGCGTGATTACAGGAATATATGAATATGAAATTAACCATGCTCATAGCCGGGGGTCCCGCTTTCTGCCGTGAACACAGCTGATCAGAAGGATTATAATTCAGTTCCTCAGCTCTTTTTGTGACAATTCAAATAGCTATACCACAGTTCTCCTCCTGTTGGTGGTTTGGGATTAGTGCTGCTGTCAGGAAGAGAGGGATGCTGGGAGAAGCTTTGACTTGTTTGCCTGTTTCTTCTCTTTCCGACCACCAGGGGCCCCCCTGATATCAGCAGCCTGGTCCCTGTTGGTCCTAAGTACACCATGAAGTGGAGTGCCCCCCTCCTGCAGGTCCAGGTAGTGGAGGTGGGTCAGGAGGCCTCCCAGGCCAAGGAGACCATGTTCCAACATAGTGCTGCCAAGCACCCTGGCAGTGCCTGTCTCCCAGGTTGGTAAACCTCCTGAGTCATCCATCCATTGCCTCTCTATCCCTGTTCATCATCTCCTACATGTAGTCCAGCTAATCTCATCACTTGGCCAGACTCCTAGTCTCAGCCCCATGGTCTAACTCAGCACAGCCCTCTAATCTGTTTCGTACTGTGAACTATCCCTGTGAATTCTGGTGACACAGCGCTGTCACTCTGATTGAGGATGTGTTTGTGAAAAGAATAGCGATGATGGTCACTTGGTTCCATCTGCCTGGGCTGTTTTTATATGCGAGAGATACAGTGGGAAAACAGAGCTGCAGCCTCCACAGTCTCATTTCACTCTCTGATAGACCACAAACATATCTGGAGTGGTGTCATCAATCTGCAGAGAATATTCCCTTCCTCTCCAGCTCCAATTAGAGAAGCAGCAGCACTAGATAGGAATCTAATGGTTAAACAGGCCTTTTTTCACCCCTCTCAAAACTATGTTGTGCGTACAGCTTGGTGGAGAGATCCCTGATAAATGTGCCATGGGAAGGAGGAGATACAAAGCCTTATCAGGATGTAATGGAACAGCCTTTAAATATTAATGGCGCCTTTTACAGCAGCGTCTGACCATGTCACACTCAGTGAACAGCAACAGTTTAACAGGGATGCCAAGATTAGGCTTAGATTCTCTGAAGATTAAGCCTTAAAGTCTTAAAAGTTTACTGCAACGCTGTGGGATGATTTAAGTTGACATTAAAAGGTCTATCACCCCCCCCCCCCCCCCCCCCCCCTCTCTCTCTCTCTCTCTCTCTCTCTCTCTCTCTCTCTCTCTCTCTCTCTCTCTCTCTCGCTCTCTCGCTCTCTTTCAATTCAATTTCAATTCAAGGGGCTTTATTGGCATGGGAAACATATGTTTACATTGCCAAAGCAAGTGAAATGGATAAAGAAAAGTGACAGTAAATATTACATTCACACAATTTCCAAAAGAATAAAGACATTTCAAATGTCATATTATGTCTATATACAGTCTGCTAAATGATGTAAATGTAAATGTTGTAACGATGTGTAAATAGTTAAAGTAAAAAAAGGGAAAATAAATCAACATAAATATGGGTTGTATTTACAATGCTGTTTGTTCTTCACTGGTTGCCCTTTTCTTGTGGGAACAGGTCACAAATATTGCTGCTGTGATGGCACACTATGGTATTTCACCCAATAGATATGGGATTTGGATTTGTTTTCGAATTCTTTGTGGATCTCTGTAATCTGAGGGAAATATGTGTCTCTAATATGGTCATACATTTGGCAAGAGGTTGGGAAGTACAGCTCAGTTTCCAGCTCATTTTGTGGGCAGTGTGCACATAGCCTGTCTTCTCTTGAGAGCCAGGTCTGCCTACGGTGACCTTTCTCAATAGCAAGGTTATGCTCACTGAGTCTGTACTACATAGTCAAAGCTTTCCTTAATTTTGGGTCAGTCACAGTGTTCAGGTATTCTGTCACTGTGTATTTACTCTCTGGTCTGACAGAATCTGTGCATATGATCTAGGTGCTGCTGTAGGCCCTCCTTGGTTGGGGACAGAAGCACCAGATCATCAGCAAACAGTAGACATTTGACTTCAGATTCTTTCTCTCTCTCTCTCTCTCCTCTCTCTCTCTCCTCTCTCTCTCTCTCTCTCTCCTCTCTCTCTCTCTCTCTCTCTCTCTCTCTCTCTCGCTCTATCCTGACTTTTGAAAATCAGGTTGATTAATTTTTGAATCTAGCATGGGGCCAATGCAAGCCACCCCCTTAATCATGCCTTTCCAGGAATCTTCCTCTATGCATCTGCTGAATTGTTCCCCTGGGGGAACGCTCCCATGGCTTGGCGAGAAATTGGCTAATTTTTCATCTCCTGCAGGCCCTGATGCCCTTCCTTGTTGATGGAGAAGGCTGGCCTTCTGGGAACTACAGGGATCTCTCAACTCTCTCTCTCTCTCATCTCCTCTCTCTCTCCTCTCTCTCCTCCTCACTCTCTCTCTCTCTCCTCTCTCTCTCTCTCTCTCTCTCTCTCTCTCTCCATTGTGCAGAGACACAGGTGGGGTGGGGTGGTGTTATATAGTAAGTGGTGGGGTCTCTCTCTCTCTCTCTCTCTCTCTCCCTCTCCCTCTCCATTGTGCAGAGACACAGGTGGGCAACAGCTTTGTCTCCCCACTGTGTCTGGTCTTGTGCCATCTCTCCATGTACCCACACACAGGCTTACCTTCTCCCTGCCCCAATTACAGAGTTATTGTTTTATACTGACAGTGACACGAGACTGTGATGCACAGCAATGCTGCACTGTATCTATGCTACATCTACATGCAGTAAGCTGGTGACCAGGTTCGGATGGGGATTAGTATATGGCTTTGGTGCAGATTTGATATATTGGGGATTTGGAAGCAGTGGCTGCTGTAAAATTCCCTCAGGTTAGTTCCCAGAGCTGGATGCAGCACCAGCTGGACTGGACTATAGGCTGAGGATGGAGATTCCTGCTGGCTGTTGTTACATGAAGCGGCTGCCCCTGGAAGGATGGGCAGGGGCCCCTGTGGGCTCAGCCCTGCCTTGCTGCTACGTGCCTGGCGGCCAGTGTGAATGACCGTGTCTGAGTGTGAAAACCAATCCCGCCACACCAACGGGATTACGCTGGATTACAACTCAGCACATTCACCTCCGGGGCTGGGGCCAACTCTAGGCAGGCGGGGACACAGCGGACCTGTGTGCAAGTAAATCCCAAAGTCCCACAGCTACAGGGAAGTCATTGTTTACAGAGACTCACGGCAGGCACACCTCTTTATATTCAGATGTGTCTGCTATTGATCGTGTCTCACAGATGACAGATGTCTGTGCACGTCAGTGTGAGAGATCACCATTAAATCAGTGAAGGCTGGTGGGAGTAGCTATAGGAGGATGGGCTCATTGTAATGGCTGTAATGGAATAAATGTAATGGAGTTAAACATGTGGTTTCCATATGTTTGTGTTTGATACCGTTCCATTTATATAATTTCCAGCCATTACACTGAGCCATCCTCCTATAGCTCCTCCCACCAGCCTCCTCTGCACTAAATGCCCAAAGGTTACAAAGGCTCTCTTAAGAGAACAATACCTGCCTCTCTCCACTCTCTGACTATTTGTCGATACAACCACACAGTCACCCGCTGGCTTTACACAGCCACTAGACTCCCACAAAGGGCCATGCTTCAGTAACCTGCCTTGTGCCAAAGCTGGTCTGCTACTTGATTATGTGGTTGTGATGACAGCACAGGACAACTCTACAGTTACATCTTGCTGCAACATTGAATTATGTTGTGCTCCTGGAGCCTTGTGTAGAGATGTGGACCAGGGCAGTATGGAGGGAGGATAGCAGTGAGAGGCAGAGCTATTGATTTCCTGAGGTTGGAGAGGTAGACTTTAAAGACAGTGTGCTCCCAAATCGATTGGTGAATCTTACGTCTAATGAGACACCTGCATTCCTTTTGCTGGGGAAAAGGGCGTCATATAGCTCCAAATGGCCAATCTCTATCTGCTTTTTAGTTATACATTCAGACTCCCGACTTCATTCAGACTGTTCAACAAATAACTGTGGTGATCGATCCATCACACATTGAACTCCTTTCTTAGTGGAACCAGAGCTTCAACAAGTGCAAGTTTTCTTTATCACTTCCACTAGTTATTGTAGTTCAGGAAAGTTCCATTGGGGATTGCAATAGTTGTTTGACCTTGAGCTGTTTTATGATGTATTTAGGAAACAAGCATTGATGTGTATGACATGTTAATTGGTTTAACCTGTTGATGTGTGTACTGTAGTATGTATGACAGGCCATGTTGTGTTTTGACCACAGGGAAAGTGATCCTGGGTCCTCCAATGCTTTACCAGGAACTCCAGGACCTGCAGTACGACTTGTCTGTGGTGGAGGAGGTCACACTACTGGTGGGAACACTAAAGGGGGTACCAGGGAACCCCCCCCAACCCCCCCCCCTTACTATAAACACCACCCCCCCCCCACCCCTTACTATAAAACCAAAAACCCAAAACCCCCCCACTATATAAAAACCAAAACCACCCCACCATGCTATATAAAAAACCACCCCCACCCCCCCACTTTCTTTTATAAAAACAAGCCCCCCCCACCAAATTTTCTATAAACACCCCCCCACCCAACTTTCTATATAAAAACCAGCCGACCCCCCCCACCCCCTTAATATATAAAACCACCCCACCCCACCCCCTTACTATATTTAAAACCACCCCACCCCCCCCACTTACATTTTAACACCAAAAAAACCCCAAACCCTTACTATTATAAACCCAAACCCATCCCACTACCCCAAATATTAAAACCAGCCCCTTACGTACTATATAACACCAGCCCACCCCACCACTTACTATTTTAAAAACCCCCGCCCACCCCAAACCCCACTATATAAAACCCGCCCCCCCCCACCACTTACTATATAAAAACCGCCAATCCCCCCTACTTACATATAACACCCGCCCATCCCCCTACTTTCTAATAAAACACCAAAACCCCCCCACCACTTACTATATAACACCAGCCCATCCCACACTTACTAATAAACACCAGCCCAACCCCCCACTCCCCTATATAACACCAGCCCATAACTTACTAAAAAAAACCCCAAACCCAAAAACCCCTACTTACCCCTTTTTAAAACCCGCCCACCCAAATATTACTATATAACACCAGCCCATCCCCCTACTTTCTTAAAAACCCCCAGCCCATCCCACTACTCACTATATAAAAAACCCCGGGCCCTTACTTACTATATAACACCGCCAAACCCCCCTACTTTCCGTTTAAAAACACCAGCCCACCCCAAAAAAATTCTAATAACACCAGCCCATCCCCATACTCACTAATAAACACCAGCCCTTTTTTTACAAAAAAAACCCGCCCCCAACCCCCACTTACCGTTTTAACACCAGCCCCCCCCCAATACTTACTAATAAAACCAGGCCCCTTTCCCCCTACTCACTTTTAAACCCCCAAACCCATTTAAATTTCATAAAACACCAGCCCATCCCAATAATTTCTATATAAAACCCGCCCCTCCCAAATTTTTTACTTTTTTTATAAACCAGCCCATCCATACTTTCTAATAACACCCGCCCATCCCCCCTACTTTCTATAAACACCAAAACCCCAAACCCAAAACTCAATATAAACCAGCCCATTTCCTTAATTAAAAACCGCCCAACCCATACTTACCGTTTTAACACCAAACCCCCCCCCCAATACTTACTATTAACACCAGCCCCCTCCCCTACTTTCTATTTTAACACCAGCCCCTCCCCCTACTCAATATAAACACCAGCCCTTAATTATATAAACACCAAACCCAACCCAAATACGACCGTTATAACACCAGCCCCCCCCCCAAAAAATTTCTATATAAAAACCAGGGCCCCCCCACTACTTACTTTTATAACACCAGCCCATCCCAATACTCAATATATAACACCCGCCCATTAAAATTAATTTTAACACCAGTCCAACCCTAATTTCCGTATAAAAACCAGCCCCCCCCCAAACTTTACATATAAAAACCAGCCCATCCCACTACTTACTATTTTAAACCAACCCACCACTACTTATTATATAACACAAACCCATCCCCACAAAACTATATAACACCAGCCCAACCCCCTCTTACCGGGATAACACCAGCCCCCCCCAAATTTTTACCATATAACAACCCGCCCCCTCTCAAACTTACTATAAACACCCCGCCCATTTGCCATTTTACCCCCTATAAAAACCAGCCCACCCCAAAAACACTATATAACACCCGGGCCCCTCCCACATCCTATATAAAACCACCCCATACTCAAAATATAACACCACACCCCCCAAAACTTTCTATATTTTAAAACCCGCCCATCCCCCTACTTTCTATATAACACCAGCCCCTCCCCCTACTTATAAAAACACCAGCCCAACCCAAAACTTACCGTTTAAAAACCAGCCCCCCCAATCTTTCCATATAACACAAACCAACCCCCTACTCACTATATAACACCCCCCCCAATACTCAAATATAACACCACACCACCCCCCTACTTCCCATATAACACCAGCCCATCCCCCTACTTACTAATAACCCAGCCCCTCCCCTAGTACTATATAAAAACCCCAACCCCCTCCAAATACCCTTTCAATAACACCAGCCCATCCCAAAAATTACCGAAACAAGAAAAACCCAAAACTTACTATAAACACCGCCCCCTTTCCCCCACTCACTAATAACACCCCCCCTATCAACATATAAAAACCCCACCCACCCCACTATTAATATATAACACCCCGCCCATTTCCCCCTACTTACTAATAACACCCCCCCATCCCCTAATACATGAACACCCAGCCAACCCACTACTTTTCCGTTTTAAAAACCCCGCCACCCCAATAATTTCCCTAAACACCACCATCCCACTAATACTATATAACACCCCCCCACTATCAAAAATTAACACCCCACCCCCCCACTAAACTTTTATAAAACCAGCCCAACCCAATAATTTCTAATAAAACCAGCCCCTTTCCCCCCGTTTCATATAACCCAGCCCATCCCCCCTACTTTCAATAAACCGGCCCCAAACCCACTACTTACCGTAACACCCGCCCAAACCCCCAAAACTTTCTAATTTAAAACCCGCACACCCCAATACTTTCTTTTAAAATCAGCCCATCCCCCTAATTACTATATTAAAACCAGCCCCTCCCAAATACTTTCATATAACCCCAGCCCCTCCCACTTTTCACTAATTTAACCCCCAAACCCATCCCCCTACTTACTAATAACACCAGCCCATCCCACACCCTTTCTAATTAAAAACCAGCCCATCCCACATTACTATATTTAAAACCAGCCCATTCCCCCCTACTTATATATAAACCAAAACCCATCCCACTATTACTATATAAAACCAAACCCATCCCCCACTTACTATATAACCCCCCAGCCCATCCCACTTTCTCACATTAACAACCCGCCCCTACTTACTATATAAAACCAGCCCCAAAAAAATACTTAGGGGAAACACCAGCCCACCCCAATACTTTTCTATATAACAACCCCCACAAACCCCCCCCCCCTACTTTTAATAAACCATCCCACGCCTCTACTTAGGGAGAAACCCCCATCAAACTACTTAATATTAAAAAATAGGGCCCCTCCCACTATTTAAATATAACACCAGGGCCCCCCCCAACCCACTTACTAAATACCCCCAGCCCAACCCCACTCTACCGTATAAAAATTTGCCCCCCCCAAAAACTTACTAATAAACCCCCAAACCAAAACCCCCCCCCCAACTTTTACTATATAAAACCCTCCCCCCGCCACTACTTACTGTTTTAAACCATCCCAAATTACTATATAAACCACATAAATACTTACTATATAACAACAGCCCCTTTCCCCCTACTTACTAAAACAAAACCATCCCACTATTTACATATAAACCACCCCACCCCCTTAATAATAAACACCACCCCCCCCCCCCACACTTACTAATAACAAAAGCCATCCCCAAATACTCCCCTATTTTAAAAACCACCCTCCCCACTACTTAATATATAAACACCACCCCCCCAATATTTACCATATAACAAACCCCGCAACTACTTACTTATAAACCTTCCCACTACTTACTATATAAAACCCGCCCCCTCCCCCTATTTCTATATAAAAACCAGCCCCTCCCAAAAACTTACTATATAACACCAGCCCTCCCACTACCTTTCATTAAAAACCAAACCCATCCCACTACTCCCCATTTTAACAACCCGGCCCCCTTTCTTACTATAACACCCCGCCCCCCAAACCCCCAATTACCGTAAAAACACCCAACCCACCCCCAAAACTTACTATAAACACCACCCCACCCCCCAAACAATTTTTAAAACACCATCCCACCCCCACTATTAGGTAGAAACAAAAAATCACAACTTACTATATAACAAAGCCCAACCCCCCTACTTACAAAAACACCCACCCCACATTTCATACAACCAACCCTCCCAATTTTCTATATAAACACCACCCCCAATACAACTAAAAAAAGCTCAAACAAAACTTACTTTTAAAAACCCCAACCCCCCTACTTAATATTTTAACACCACCCCCCCCACCCCACCCCACCCCCAATACTTACTATAAAACACCTTCCCCCTACTTACTATGTAGCACCCCCACCCCCCCTACAATATATAACACCACCCCCCCCAATATTTCCATATAAACCATTCCCCCCTTTTCTTACTTATAACACTCTCCCATACCTTTTTATTAAAACACCAGCCCATCCCAAATACTTTTCATATAAAAAACCCGGGCCCCTCCCACAATTTCATAGAAAACCCCCCCCCCTCCCCCACTAAAAATAACACCAGCCCCTCCCCAATTCCACTATATAAAAAACCAGCCCCCTTTCTTACTTAAACACCAGGGCCCAAACCCCCTACTTTCTGTTTAAAAACCATTCCCCCCCCAATACTTTTCTATATAACACCCCCCACACCCCACCCCAATAATTACTATATAAAAAACCATCCCACACCCTACTTAAGTAGGAAAACCATCCCCACTACTTATTATAACAATAGCCCAACCCACTACACTATACAACAAAAACCCCACAAATTACTATACAACACCATCCCCCCATTTAATAAAAAACCCCAACCCCCCTACTTTCTATATAACAAAAAAGCTCATCCAAAATACTTACATAAACCCAACCCCCCCCCACTACTTAATTATAAAACCCCCCAACCCCCCCCCACAATACTTAAAAAACACCCCCCCAATACTTTCAGGGGCACCAGCCCCCCCCCCCCAAAAAAAAACCCCACCCCCCCCCAACCCTTTTCCAATAAACCCCCCACTACTTATAAAAAAACACCTCCCAAATAAATTACTAAAACACCAAACCCCCCTCCCCCTATTTTCTATATAAACACCAAACCCATCCCCTACTTTCTATATAAAAAACCAGCCCACCATATTTTCAAAAACCCAGCCCCCTCCCCCTACCACTTTTAAACCCCCCGCCCATTCCTTTTCATTAACCCCAGCCCCAAACCCCCCAAAAATGTTTAACACCATCCCCCCAAAACCAACACTGTTTGGAAAACCTCACACTACTTTCTAAACCCAAAGCCCCAAAACCCCCACCACCAAAAACACCACCCCACTACAATACAAAAACCCCCCCCACGAGGGGCAAAACACCACCCCACAAACCAAAACCAAAAGGCCCCCAAAAAAAAAAGGAATAAAAACCACCCCCCCCCCCCTTAATTTAAATATAACACCACCCCACCCCACCACAATACTTACTATATAACACCATCCCACTACTTACTATGTAGCACCAGCCCACCCCACTACTTAATATATAACACCACCCCACCCCAATATTTACCATATAACACCATCCCACTACTTACTATATAACACTCTCCCACTACTTACTATATAACACCAGCCCACCCCACTACTCACTATATAACACCACCCCACTACTCAACATATAACACCACACCACCCCACTACTTACTATATAACACCAGCTGGGTTAACTGAGTCAGGTATAGGACTCGTTTTACTGTGGATATAGATACTTTTGTACCTGTTTCCTCCAGCATATTCACAAGGTCCTTTGCTGTTGTTCTGGGATTGATTTGCACTTTTCGCACCAAATTACATTCATCTCTAGGAGACAGAACGCGTCTCCTTCCTGAGCGGTATGGCGGCTGCGTGGTCCCATGGTGTTTATACTTGCGTACTATTGTTTGTACAGATGAACGTGGTACCTTCAGGCGTTTGGAAATTGCTCCCAAGGATGAACCAGACTTGTGGAGGTCTACACATTTTTTTCTGATGTCTTGGCTGATTTCTTTAGATTTTCCCATGATGTCAAGCAAAGAGGCACTGAGTTTGAAGGTAGGCCTTGAAATACATCCACAGGTACACCTCCAATTGACTCAAATGATGTCAGTTAGCCTATTAGAAGTTTCTAAATCCATGACATAATTTTCTGGAATTTTCCAAGCTGTTTAAAGGCACAGTCAATTTAGTGTATGTAAACCTCTGACCCACTGGAATTGTGATACAGTGAAATATAAGTGAAATAATCTGTCTGTAAACAATTGTTGGAAAAATTACTTGTGTCATGCACAAAGTAGATGTCTCAACCGACTTGCCAAAACTATAGTTTGTTAACAAGACATTTGTGGAGTGGTTGAAAAACGAGTTTTAATGACTCCAACCTAAGTGTTTGTAAACATTCGACTTCAACTGTATGTCTCTATAAGCTTGGCACATCTAGCCACTGGCATTCTACAAGGCAAAAGTGCTCCAGCTCCTTCAATTTGGATGGGTTCCGCTGGTGTACAGCAATCTTTAAGTAATTCCACAGATTCTCAATTGGATTGAGGTCTGGGCTTTGACTATGCCATTCCAAGACATTTAAATGTTTCCCCTTAAACCACTTGAGTGTTGCTTTAGCAGTATGCTTAGGGTCATTGTCCTGCTGGAAGATGAACCTCCGTCCCAGTCTCAAATCTCTGGAAGACTGAAACAGGTTTTCCTCAAGAATTTCCCTGTATTTAGCGCCATCCATCATTCCTTCAATTCTGACCAGTTTCCCAGTCCCTGCCAATGAATTTACATCCCCACAGCATGATGCTGCCACCACCATGCTTCACTGTGGGGATGGTGTTCTCGGAGTGATGAGAGGTGTTGGGTTTGCACCAGACATAGCGTTTTCCTTGATGGCCAAAAAGCTAAATTTTTCTCATCTGACCAGAGTACAGTCTTCCATATGTTTGGGGAGTCTCCCACATGCCTTTTGGCGAACACCAAACGTGTTTGCTTATTTTTTTCTTTAAGCAATGGCTTTATTCTGGCCACTCTTCCGTAAAGCCCAGCTCTTTGGAGTGTACGGCTTAAAGTGGTCCTATGGACAGATACTCCAATCTCTGCTGTGGAGCTTTGCAGCTCCTTCAGGATTATCTTTGGTCTCTTTGTTGCCTCTCTGATTAATGCCCTCCTTGCCTGGTCCCATGAGTTTTGGTGGGCGGCCCTCTCTTGGCAGGTTTGTTGTGGTGCAATATTCTTTCCATTTTTTTATATTGGATTTAATGGTGCTCTGTGGGATGTTCAAAGTTTCAGATATTTTTTCATAACCCAACCCTGATTTGTTTGGAGAGCTCTTTGGTCTTCATAGTGCTGCTTGCTTGGTGGTGCCCCTTGCTTAGTGGTGTTGCAGACTCTGGGGCCTTTCAGAACAGGTGTATATATACTGAGATCATGTGAAACTTAGATTTTACACAGGTGGACTTTATTTAACTAATTATGTGACTTCTAAAGGTAATTGGTTGCACCAAATCTTATTTAGGGGCTTCATAGCAAAGGGGGTGAATGCATATGCACGCACCACTTTTCCGTTATTTATTTGTTAGAATTTTCTGAAACAAGTGATTTTTTTCGTTTCACTTCACCAATTTGAACTATTTTGTGTATGTCCATTACATGAAATCCAAATAAAAATCAAGGAAAAACGCCAAGGGGGATGAATACTTTTGCAAGGCACTGTAGCACCAGGCCACTACTTACTATATAACACCACCCCACCCCACTACTTACTATATAACACCACCCCACCACTTACTATATAGCACAAGTCCACCTCACTACTTACTATATAACACCAGCCGACCCCACTACTTACTATATAACACCAGCACACTACTTACTATATAACACCACCCCACTACTTACTATATAACACCAGCACACTACTTACTATATAACACCATCCCACCCCACTACTTACTATATAACACCACCCCACTACTTACTATATAGCACAAGTCCACCTCACTACTTACTATATAACACCAGCCGACCCCACTACTTACTGTATACAACCAGCCCACCCCACTACTTACTATATAACACCACCCCACCCCACTACTTACTATATAACACCACCCCACTACTTACTATATAGCACAAGTCCACCTCACTACTTACTATATAACACCAGCCGACTCCACTACTTACTGTATACAACCAGCCCACCCCACTACTTACTATATAACACTAGCCCACCCCATTACTTAACTATATAACACCACCCCACTACTTACTATATAAGAGCAGCCCACCCCACTACTTACTATATAACACCAGCCCACTACTTACTATATAACACCAGCCACTACTTACTATATAACACCAGCCACTACTTACTATATAACACCAGCCACTACTTACTATATAACACCAGCCACTACTTACTATGTAACACCAGCCACTACATACTATATAACACCAGCCACTACTTACTATATAACACCACCCCAATACTTACTATATAACACCAGCCCACCCTACTACTTACTATATAACACCAGCCCACACCACTACAGCCAAACCACTGCCACACGCCACCTCACTACTTATTGTAGGAATGCTACAGGAGACATACCAGGTATGCACAGCCAAAACCCCAACCTGTGGGTCTACTATAGTATTTTTGTGCATCACTACATAGCCCAGGCTGCCTCCAAGTTACTCACAAAAGCCTACATCCATATTACCCTCTTTAAAAACGTGCACCGCAGCCTGACCTCTAAAAACACTGGTCTTTACTTTAAAGAGATTTCATTCGCAGCTTGACAAATTATTAATAAAGCTGATAAGTCCAAATAATGCTTGCAAATGTAAAGTGATTTCTTTCTACCACAACCCAACTAACTACAGGTCTGAACCCTGAGAACACAGAATGCTTTGATCGGAGATTGAAAATGCATGAACAAAGTGTTATTTTTAAAAATGCAGGGTATTGTACAACAACAAAGATGAGAATTATTCATAGACGATAGAGAGGAAGAGATTTGGGGAAATCTCTTTCGGGTCACAATGAATTTCAAAAGGGATAATTAAATGCAATTAAAATGTGATCATATAAAAGCTACAAATCTTTCTGGAATCACCAACTGATAACAGCGTAAATACATTCGATATCCCCATGCCAACAGTGCCAGGATGAGTAGCTGCTGCTTTTGCAGAGATTTGACAGATTTGAGGTGTATCTCCTGAAGAACAGAGTACCTCTATCTCCTTCAGTGAGCTATGTTGTGTTCAAATCAGGACACCTACCAGTACTGTGTCTGTCTGCCACCATCACATTAAAGCTACTGTACATAACACAGTCACAGCATACTCCAGCAATCACCAAAGAGCCTCTCAGTGGAAAGGTGGCCTTTTGGCTCAATTTTTTTTAAAAGGTGGAGTAAAATGGGCTTTTCTCCATATTACTGATTTTCACACTCCACCCAGTTATAATATAAATGTCCACCAAACAAAATAGGAAATATTTCTGCATGGCTCATTGACTTCATAAATTGATTTGATTCTATTTGACTGGAGGGACTTAACTGTAAAAGTGGTGTAGGAGATGTAATGTGTATGACGTATTTGATGGTATAAAGTGCTTTGGCCATGGGTTGATGAAAGGGTCTATAAATCGAAGCAGTTTTATGAGGAAAGGGTTCTTTTTAATAGAGAGTTTAAGTATGTCAGTCCATAAATATAAAGGTGTGAGTATAAGCATGAGATACGAATGTTACGCTTGTGAATGTAAGCAGAAGTGCATCATTTAGGAGTGGATAGAAGAATATCGTGCACATGGCAGTATGTACTGTACCTATATTTTCATGTCATAGCAGAATGTTCTTGTGTGTTTGTGGATCATAGAACCTGAACACGACTGTGGCCCAGGACTGGTGTCTAGCTCTACAGAGACTCATCCGGATCAAGGAGGATCAGCTTCAGAATGCCAACAAGTGCCGCTTACGCCTGCAAGTGCCTGGGAGACCAGACAAGTGAGTATTACGTCAATATTACTGGGCCTTGTGTTAAAGTCAGCCATACTGTAGTACCACCCAATGTGTGGATTTCATCCATTATCTTCACACTTGTGTGATTTTACGATTTAAAGACGACAAATTGAACTGCAAGGGCTTGTTTTACACTGCCGTCTTGACTCCACAAAATGGGTTGCTGGAGAAATTGCCTCATCCATAACTCTGAAAACAGGCAGTCACACTCAACACTAAAAGAGAATAGCCGGTGACAAACATTTGAATGTGCATGGGCACTAACGATATGATGATGCAGGAGGCTGATGCTGTGTTCGCTTACCCTCACAGAGCACATTACCTGGCATTACACTCAGACAGTGTTAAAAGCCTGCCCCCACCTCTGCCACAGCTGGCTGGCAAATTAGAGGTGTGCACCGCGATGGGTCATTAACTGATCGTTCACATATTGACTTCCTTGAGAACTCAAATGGAATAATTGACAGCATTAGCCATGTTATTTTCATGGAGTTGCATTCATATTACGGGTATAGCCGGTATTGTGTGTTTTTCATTTGTTCTGACATAATAATAAAAAAATGCTATTGTAGTTCAGCTCAAGGACACACAGAAAGTGGTCTTTGACTGACAGGTCATTTTGTCATTTTTAGATGTACTAAATCTAAAGGCTCCATAATCGGAGCTTCTATAATTCTCACACACTGTGATGAGTCTGAATGTGCTTATCGTAATGTGCTCAAGTGGCTATGGACTCAGCTGAGAGTATAGGAGGAGGATAGAGAATGAAAACAGATTAGAGTGGGAGTCGTGCTGTGGCTGCTAGTGTGTGGAGGATGAGAGGGGGAGGAGGGGAGTATTATGAGCAGGGAGGGAAAGAGACCTTGACCCACCTCCACAAAATAAACCGGGCTAGGCAGGGTGACAGCAGTGAGGGCCTACCCATCCAACCTAAAGTTACAGCTTGAGCCGCAGAGCACTGCAGATTGGTAACCATCCCCCCTCTCTCTCTCTCTGTGGCGCCACACTGGGCCTGCAGGGCCAAGCTGCTTACTCTGTTTGGTGGAGCCAGATGTCATGCATACAAGAAAGTCCCAGCATCCCCTTTGAGGAGTACCCCATCCCCTCTGTCCCATTGATAATGTCATTAGCAGCAGCATGGACCAGGGAGGGAGACCCCCGTTTCCCATCTCTGTGGGTTGTATCATATAGTGTAACATATTTGTTTGTAGAAGCCGACAGACCTCATTCTGCCACACAGAGAAACAGGTTTCAACAATGTAAAGTGGGGGAAATGCTTTGAGCAAGTAGAGTACTATACAGACCTGGACTCCAGTGTAGAGTGTAGTGATGGTTATAGTAGATTGTGAAGAGAGGCATGCGATAAAGAGATAAAGAGAGAGAGAGAGAGCTGAGCAGGGACTCTGATAGCAGACTAATTGTTGCTGGAGGCTGGCTGGTTGCTTGGCCGGCAGGGCTAGCTGTTGAGGTGGCAGGGCCAGCATAGGGGCAGGGCCAGCAGAGGGCTAGCAGAGGGCTAGCAGAGGGCCCTGCAGATAGATTGTAACTTCCATCAGTGTAATTGTCTGCATCACTTCCAATCCCCCATGTTTATATATATATATATATATTATAGACACTGCTCAAAAAAATTAAGGGAACACTAAAATAACACATCCTAGATCTGAATGAATGAAATAATCTTATTAAATACTTTTTTCTTTACATAGTTGAATGTGCTGACAACAAAATCACACAAAAATTATCAATGGAAATCAAATGTATCAACCCATGGAGGTCTGGATTTGGAGTCACACTCCATTAAAGTGGAAAACCACACTACAGGCTGATCCAACTTTGATGTAATGTCCTTAAAACAAGTCAAAATGAGGCTCAGTAGTGTGTGTGGCCTCCACATGCCTGTATGACCTCCCTACAATGCCTGGGCATGCTCCTGATGAGGTGGCGGATGGTCTCCTGAGGGATCTCCTCCCAGACCTGGACTAAAGCATGTGCCAACTCCTGGACAGTCTGTGGTGCAACGTGGCGTTGGTGGATGGAGCGAGACATGATGTCCCAGATGTGCTCAATTGGATTCAGGTCTGGGGAACGGGCGGGCCAGTCCATAGCATCAATGCCTTCCTCTTGCAGGAACTGCTGACACACTCCAGCCACATGAGGTCTAGCATTGTCTTGCATTAGGAGGAACCCAGGGCCAACCGCACCAGCATATGGTCTCACAAGGGGTCTGAGGATCTCATCTCAGTACCTAATGGCAGTCAGGCTACCTCTGGCGAGCACATGGAGGGCTGTGCGGCCCCCCAAAGAAATGCCACCCCACACCATGACTGACCCACCGCCAAACCGGTCATGCTGGAGGATGTTGCAGGCAGCAGAACGTTCTCCACGGCGTCTCCAGACTCTGTCACGTCTGTCACATGTGCTCAGTGTGAACCTGCTTTCATCTGTGAAGAGCACAGGCGCCAGTGGCGAATTTGCCTATCTTGGTGTTCTCTGTCAAATGCCAAACGACCTGCACGGTGTTGGGCTGTAAGCACAACCCCCACCTGTGGACGTCGGGCCCTCATACCACCCTCATGGAGTCTGTTTCTGACCGTTTGAGCAGACACATGCACATTTGTGGCCTGCTGGAGGTCATTTTGCAGGGCTCTGGCAGTGCTCCTCCTGCTCCTCCTTGCACAAAGGCGGAGGTAGCGGTCCTGCTGCTGGGTTGTTGCCCTCCTACGGCCTCCTCCACGTCTCCTGATGTACTGGCCTGTCTCCTGGTAGCGCCTCCATGCTCTGGACACTATGCTGACAGACACAGCAAACCTTCTTGCCACAGCTCGCATTGATGTGCCATCCTGGATGAGCTGCACTACCTGAGCCACTTGTGTGCGTTGTAGACTCCGTCTCATGCTACCACTAGAGTGAAAGCACCGCCAGCATTCAAAAGTGACCAAAACATCAGCCAGGAAGCATAGGAACTGAGAAGTGGTCTGTGGTCACCACCTGCAGAACCACTCCTTTATTAGGGGTGTCTTGCTAATTGCCTATAATTTCCACCTGTTGTCTATTCCATTTGCACAACAGCATGTGAAATTTATTGTAAATCAGTGTTGCTTCCTAAGTGGACAGTTTGATTTCACAGAAGTGTGATTGACTTGAAGTTACATTGTGTTGTTTAAGTGTTCCCTTTATTTTTTTGAGCAGTGTAATTTGCTAGAGAACCAGTTCGGATTTAAGTATAACTTTTGTATGACTGAAGCTTTTAGTGATAGGTCTAATGCTTTAATATTTAATAATTTCTGTATTCATTATATAAATAGGCCCGTTTAATTTTGTCTGGCTTGCCGTTCCAAATAAAATGGAATATTTTTTTCTCATATAATTTAAAAAACTGTTCGCTAGGCGTAGGCAAGACCATAAGCAAATAGGTGAACTGGGATAATACTTAAGAGTTAATCAGGGTGATTTTTCCACAAATTGACAGGCACCCACCTTTCCATGGTAGCAAGATCTTATCTATTTTTGCTAACTTTCTATTATAATTTATTGAAGTGAGATCATTTATTTCCTTTGGGATATGTATTCCGAGTATATCCACATCACCATCAGACCATTTTATTGGTAAACTACATGGCAATGTAAAAATTGTATTTTTTATTGATCCAATACATAATATAGTACATTTGTCATAATTTGGTTGTAATCCAGAGAGGTTAAAATATGTATCTAGATCCTCTATGAGGCTGTGGTGTGATTCTAGTTGTGGATTTAAAAGAAAACATGAATCATCAGCGTACAATGACACCTTTGTTTTTAAGCCCTGGATTTCTAATCCCCTGATATTATTGTTGGATCTGATTTTAATAGCTAACATCTCGATGGCCACAATAAATACATATGCCGATAGTGGACAACCTTGTTTCACTCCTCTTGACAGTTTAAAACTTTCTGAGAAATAGACATTATTTACTATTTTACACCTAGGGTTACTATACATGATTTTGACCCATTTTACAAGAGATTCACCAAAATGTAAATGCTCCAGGCATTTATATATAAACCCCAGTCGTACTTTATCAAATGCCTTTTCGAAGTCTGCTATGAATAGCAGGCCTGGTTTCTCAGATTTTCCATAATGTTCTATTGTTTCCAATACTTGCCTTATATTATCTCCAATGTATCTTCCTTGTAAAAAACCTGTCTGATTAGAATGAATAATATCCGACAATACCTTTTTAATTCTATGCGCTATACATTTTGCTAGAATTTTAGCATCACAACACTGAAGTGTAAGGGGCCTCCAATTTTTTAAATGGACTGGATCTTTATATTTTCCACTTGTATCCTGTTTCAGTAATAATGAAATCTTCTTCTTGAGTGTCAGATAATCTACCATTTACATAGGAGTGGTTAAAACATGCTAATAGCGGTCCTCTTAGTATATCAAAAAAGGTTTGGTATACTTCGACTGGTATGCCATCCAACCCTGGAGTTTTCCCAGACTTAAAGTATTTAATTGCATCCAGAAGTTCCTCCTCTGTAATTTCACCTTCACATGAGTCTTTCTGTTTGGCTGTTAATTTTACATTATCAATAGAAAAAAAATCTCTACAATTAGCTTCAGTTAGAGAAGATGGAGGCGACTGAAACGAAACATATGCTTAAATTACCTTGTTTCCTCCTTCAAAATATCATTTGGTGAATCATGGGTTACTCCGTCAATTGTAACCAATTTCATTCAATTCTTTTTGGTAGCATTCCTATGTTGAAGATTAAAAAATAATTTGGTGCATTTTCCCCCATATTCCATTCAGTTTTCTTTATTTTTATAATATATTACACTTGATCTTTCTTGAATAAGTTTCTCCATTTCTTTTTGTTTTTCCTCTAATTTATTCTGAGCCTCTATGTCACAGTTTTTATTGCCATCTATCTGTTCTGTTATACTTTCTATTTCCTTTGTTAGTATAAACTCTTTTGACCTAAATTGCTTTTGTT